AGTACAGGATACAGCTGTTTATATACATAAATGTATGACAGTATTACATAAGGAAGTACTGAGGAATCCACATATAGTAAATGACTACATATGACATAGTATAACACATGATCATATTAGTGGTGTGTGAACTGCATAACCGCGTTCAACAGTCTACACCTGCTTATATCTTTTGCTGGTTCCATGGTATGACTGGGAAGTTGAAGGACATTTCCGAATTTTACTGCGCCGGAATGCTATGCTACAACGCAGTATAGAACGGCATTTGCCGTTGGGTTGGGATTTTCTGTCAAGTTATAAGAAAATGGATCATATTTTGAACCTCACAGTTCCCGCCTACCGCAGGGGGGGGTCGTGAGAATCGTACCCGCGATCTGAATCTCACTCGCCTCTTGCTTTGAACTTGTTTCGTTCTGAGGCTTCCACAGCAACTCGCGGCGCGCCCTACATGCGCCGCGGACGGTTACGCCGGTCCGGCTTCTCGTGCTTTCTCCGTGGACCCAGTCTCTCTTCTCCGTTCAGTGGACATTTCTTGAAGACTTCCTCCTTCTCGTTGATCTCAATTGCACTCCCGAAAGGTTTGCTAGGTTGACTTATCTCAACAAGACGGGGATTTCTGTGACTCCTCAAATAAGGCACGCCCATCCTACCTCCTGGCAACCTCCGTCGCATGGACCGTCGGTGTAATATCACCATTTCTCCTTCCTCTCGAGTCCCTGACTGATCAACTTGGGTTCATTTTTGCTTTTCTTACCTCTAATTCGAGTGGTAAGATGAGTTCTTCTTGGGCACCGGCACCTGAGGTATAGTTGGAGGAAGAATGAAGGCAAGGTTCATCTATTTAAAAAGGCTAGCCGTTTGATATTCCTCAATATTTGTTTCCCATCAGCCCTGGGTGACATCGATCTTACATCGGCTACGAATCGCATGCTTAAATAGAGCAATGCCAACATCCAATTTCCCTAGCTTGCTGGTCTTGCCTCCGGTTCCCTTCGCTTGCACTCTTCACATCTCGAACTCCTCCAACTACCTTATCTGCTTCACCCATCATGCGTGTCAGTTCTGTCTTCGTCTGTCTCTTCTTCGGACTCGTCTCTACGGTCTGCGCTGCGCCTTTGCCTGTGCGTATAGTCTACGTATTCCTTCTTGATTCTGTACGAATTATGGGCTGACCCCCCGCCTCCTCAAATCATCTAGATCCATGTCGTATCGCAATTGCGTCGATCTGACCCGGCCAGGGTCACAGTCAACTTTGTCGACAACAGTCAAGGTTCCCTCGTCAGCATGCAATCTACCGACTTTCTTGCTGTGGCGCAAAGCCTTCTCGATCAGCATGGTACAGGCCTCGGAATTGGGAGTGACTTCGTGATACTCGCAGAGAATGTGCCGACCAAACAGCAATCAAACCTCCTATTCACCCTCGAAGGGGGTTCCAAGTGTATGCCAACTTTACCTTGCAATGTTGCCTTTGGGACTGGGTCTGGAGACGGAGGTCCAATCAGTGCAACGGTCTCTATCCGGGAAAACAAAATCTTCACTGGCGACGTTACCGTTGAGGATTAGTAAGTCAAGCTTTTGATACCATTCTTTTCGTCGTCAAGGCTAATATACCGTTCGTTCAGCAACGCGGCGAAATTTGTCGTGAGTTAAAATTTTCTTTGTGGTTTGCTCGAACATCTAGAACTCATAGTCGAATCCGTCCGTTCAGAGCTGAGCATAATTGGAGATGTCTACACAAGTTGAATTTCTGTATGTCTTTCTTTTCTTCATAATGAGTCGTCATCGTGTCTTAAGTGCAGTTCTTCAGATTTTACGTTCTCAATGGTTGGTCGTACACTGGTTGTACGCGCCCTTTAAAGAGGGGGGTGATAAGAAGTTTCGAGTCCATGAATGTAGTGGTACCGATGTACTCGTGGTACCATATTATATGAAGTGCTTAAACTTTCAGCCTTGTGTATACCTGATAGGCTCTGGTAAGAGCACTCCGTTGAGAGAAACGTCTGCCTGCGGATCAACAAAAATACACCGCTTCTCCTCAAGTAGTCGTATTCCACACCCTAGAACCATCACTCTGTGCACATGGACAACTTGAACTGCGACGACAACTCGGGATATATGTAAATAAGTACTGGCTTGCCCAATGCCGCCAGCATATTTCGGTAATAGTCTTCTCCGAAGTCGTGGCGGATGGGCTCTTGTTGACCTGATGTCCCTCTATCTACTTATCTGCCTTATTCAGTGACTGACCCCAAAGTGTCTAACCGGTATGGTATGCCTTGGTGTTCTCGTCAACAGTGTCAGTATCCTTTTCCCACCCTTCAATCCTTCTATAGCCAGAGCTGAGCCAAGATGCTGTGCCGTCAATCCTGTGAAGGCACAATAATTGTGGTGACGATTCACGAACATGATTTATTGGCCTCCTTAGGTAAGATGAGATGACTGGAGCCACGTCTTGGACAGCCGTGGCTGAGACAGAGCACGGGAAGAGACACCGGTCCTGATCGTGATAATAACGGGACTGAGGACTAATTGGACCTACATATTTCATCGATTAAAACGAACAACATTTATAGTCACAAAGTGAATCTAAAATTCCGAGTCATCAATTCACCTCGTGCGCATCCATAACTTGGACAACCTCCCAGCGCATTCCCGAGTCGTTTTTCTAAACCATTCGGGCATTATCTCTTTCATACGCCGTTGAGCCAGGTGGGACCGTCGAATAATGAAGCCCTGCATAGTAGGATAGAGCCTCCGTCTGGTAGACAGCGTGTAAGGAAGTAGTGCTCAGCTTCAATATGAAATGTGTTGATATAAACTCGAACAAAACAGAATTTCAAACCGAAATCAGTAAGGTCCAACCAGGACTCGAACCTGGGTTACGGGAAGATGAGCAGAGGAGGAGCAGCAGTGATCAGAATCCCGGGTGATAACCTCTACACTACTGAACCTCTGAATAGCTGTTAGAGTCTGTTTTTTCTTGAAAAGCATAAACAAAATACAGTAAATTTGCCAGTACTCTCGTTCTTGCAGCGAAATAAGCGTTCTTGCAGCGAAATAAGTGACCTATCGAAAGTGGAAAAGACCGACCAACGAAAACGAGTGAGAACGTCGGGTCTAGATTATCGGCATACCGGCGAATTAGATTCGGATCACGCTTGCTCTGAGTTTCTCTCTCTCTTTCCTTCGACTTTGTTCTTCTGAATTTGAAAAAATCGATGAACTTGCGACCTTTTCGAACCTATGAATTAACGTAGGCCGACGTTACCTTGCCTTTAGCGCTCATATGCGACGGACGATAGCGAGCTACTCTCAACGCTTAGCAGGTACCATCAGGTACTATCGATATCTATCATATATCTATCTGCCTAATCCATCACGCCACATACCAGCCTGAAGTACACGGCTGGAGAGTTGCCGCAATAGAAAAGAATTAGAGGAGTAGTAAGTTCCGCTCCTTATGCATCGTGCTTGTTCCATTCGTCTGTTCATTACTCCATGAAGCTCCGAAATCTTCCTCAATAATCCTTTGATCTCTCGTGCAAGTCCTGCCTTCATGAAGCAACTGGACACCTGGTCCTCCAGCACCTTTCAACATTCCGGTTCCGACATGCTTCCGCATACAAGGCTTTCCGGCCTCCGGCTCCAACCCTCTTCCAACCGTTCCGAATTCCTTAAATCCCGTATTTAATCCCTTCGCAAAGTCTTTAACCAAAGCAGGAAAGGTCGTGAAATCAAAACTTCTGTCTGTCTGGGATGCCAGATGTTGCGTATATATTATTTTTACAAGTCTCAAGCAGTCAAGCGTTCAGATCACTCTCGCGATAATCAAGAAATTCATTCATTACCCCACCGGCAGACATTTTAAGCTCTTTCTTTTGCAAGGTAAGTTCCGAAACCCTTGCCGAGCTCCACAATGCCTCGAAGTCCTAAGTAATAATGGGCCGTATCGTCTCAAAAACAAACACGCGCAAAGATAAATTGAAGATGAGCCAGCTCGTTTGTACGGAAGGAGGGGGAGGCTCTACAACGACCACAAGAACAGGGCCCAAAATAGCTTTAATAAGAAAAGAACTTGATAGATCCTTTCAAACTTGTGCAAGTATCAAGAGGTGTATTAAAGGTAGACAGAAGGTGCCTGATTTTCGTTGACAGTCCGGTAAGTAGTTGAGGAAGACGTTTGCCATAGCTAGCGCTACTCCTGCTCCCAGAAAAAAGAAGGTAGAAGTGCAATTTCCAACTGCTTCCTGCTTCCGCCAACTGATTGATACACCTCCATAGTTGACCTGGACCTTTCGCTTCTTGCGATTCTGGGCGCGTCGGAACGAATATCATTTCTCTACACGTATGGTACCCCCTTTCTTTTTCTCAGCCTTGGATCTCCTTCGTTCGTCGTCGCTACTTCTTCCAATCAAATTTTAAAAGTTCCTGCAATGACTGAGACTATACTGAAGGTTTTGGACGGTATAGACTGGTGTGGACGTATAGAACGTACTGGCCCTTGGGAGGCCCTGGGCTCGAACATCGATGACCAATTCTCAATTACTCGACCGACATAGGCGTACACACGCTCGACCGTAGTCCGTACACACTCCGCTGTCCATTCAACATTCAATCTCCAGCCGACAGATTCGAGCCAATCCTCTCTCGCGCTCGGTCCTGCTACACAACAGAAAAAACGGAAGGTTTTCATCGGAGTTTGGATTCAATGAAACGGAAGTGCTATTAAGTGAGTAAATATCATTGAGGACAGGAGTCCTTCAAGGGTCCTCAAGGGTCTTTTGGGTGCATCTACAGGGGTTATTGCTGTTTATTGCGATTTCTGTTCATTGTTGTTATTGTTTGCCAGTTGACTAGTCGCACGGTAAGTGCTCGTAATTGCTATTTGAAAGCGACTGCAGTCAGTCATCTGATACTGAACTCGATCCAAGATCCCAAACCTCAAGGGTCTCCGGTACATCTGGAGGTTGGCCTTATGGGTTTATTGCGGTTTTTGCTTTTGAAGCTAAGGTTGAAGCGTTCACGAACTGCGCGCCTGTTAATTAATGCGTGTAGCAAGTAATAGTAAGTAATCAATCAGCAATACTTGCAAACACTCAATCCAAGATCTAAATCCTTGCCATCCCGGACTGAGTGCGATCGGGTCACAGGTGCGATCGCACCTTATTTTAATGCAAGTATTCACTTATTTATGTACTGACTTCACTTACAGACTCAGTGTAGTATGTAGTAGTACAGTAACATGAACACAACTTGTGTACGATTGAGTAAATGTCGCCCCAAAAACCGAGCTAGTACAAGTAGTACTGGCACTAATACAATATAAGACTTACAACAAGTGATCTATGTATAGACGAATTCACTGCGGTTTTAAACTTGTCTATCTTGCGTGCAGGTGCTTCAACTTGTGCTCATACCTACTGACCCACTCGGCGCTTCTCGGCGCTCAGAGTCAAAAATTGGGCTTAGCGCAATGGTTTTGGCACCAATAGGTAAAAATAAGCGCATTCAATCGCGGAAAGATATTTTGATTTTTGCTAGAACATTCGACATGTTGTGTAGTACGACTACTGACCAGTGGAACCCACATATCTTCCACAATGCAGAGATCTTGCAGAGATCTATCTCTTCTACAGACAATCCGTGTCAAGCGGTCGCGCACCATTGCCTACCATTGCATTGGGAGAACGTGTACACACCAGGTTGACAATTGCAACATCACACCAACAGTCCTTGAACTATCGTTTCGTCAAGAAAATACATAAATAACTCAAGTAAGTACGTGTTACTGTTTACCGACTGAAAGCCTTTCATTCTTTTATTGAACCTTATAGTACTATATTTGTAACCACCGAGATGAACGAGAGAATTCAAGAGAAGGGTGTGGTGTGACGAGTGTCGGGGACAGCAGTAATGACAGGAAGACCCGTTGATTAGTATTTTGTCTTTACACCGGTGACCGTCATCATCGAAGTTCATCGAACTTATAGGACAAATCTTGATGAGGCAGAACACAACCTAACGCAGAAACCGCGCTTTAGTTTCCTCGTTGCAGTCTCTGTGAACTAATCAATATCTGTGTAGATCTCTGTGCAAAATCGCTCGAAAAGCACTGCTAGAATCCGCAATGAGCGAGTCGAGTCGAGTCGAGTCAGATTTCGGAACGGAAAGGCAGGGAAAGGATAACCGGCACGGCCCTATCATGACGAACAGCCGGGGCCCATGCAATCTCGAAATTCCGAATAGTGGTGGGTGGTTAATAATGAGAAAGACTCGAAACAACTTATAATTATCGGATTGGTCTGGGCAGCCTGTATGTATCTGTCACAGCCTGACTCGGAGCAAAGGCCCAAGGCAGCCAAGCATAATACATAATGCGGCGGGGAGAGTTGAAACGTTGAGATGTTGAGACTTGAGAGAACCGGTACGGTCCAATCTCTTTCTATCGAGGATGCAGATAGGGAATACCAACTAAGAGTAAAGCGTAGAACATCAAGCAGCGTTTTTCTCCACCGCCGCCGCGTGAGATTACGAAAACTGGCATGCGGTTGATTTTGTAGTAGGCTATGTAGAAGTTCGAAGAAGTGCGAAGCGAAGCGAAGTCAAGAGCATGAATTCTTGAGATTTGTTGTTGTTGTGAGAGTCTTGCAACGAGAAGCTTTTGTCAATGGTGAATGTGTGTGTGTGGCTGAACAAAGTTGAAGCAAAGTTCGAACCCTGGTTCCTTTGGTAGGGACACATAGAGTATAGTATACATATGATTTTTTTATCAGTTCTTCAGGCATATGTACTGACTACAGAGTTGCATTGTACTTGGCTCTTGTAAGCCTTCCCGGGAAGCTTTAAGGGTGAACCAGCGGGTATAACGAAGGTTCCGAGCACATAGGTGTAACTTGTCAATCATAACTTTCGTGAGCAAGCCTTCTGTCGACGGACACAATTCTCAGTGTTGGGCATTACTGTAGCATCGATCTGGCCGGCGGCAGTTTCTAATGATAATATTGTAAACTTCAGCGGAAGTAAAACCCTCAACCTAAGGTCTCATGGCCCGGGCATGTAGTTCCAAATTCGAGATAAGCTTGTATTTTTGGACATATACCCGAGCGCTGATTTGCAGAGGAACGCTGAAGGCTCATTTGAACCAGAGGATTCTGATCTTTCTTTGGATACATTGTCACAGCGAGACCGACCATAAATACTGACGACGATATCAATGCTCTGTAGTGGCCGTTAACGCGTTGAAAAGTTCAAAGACATAATCATTTGAACTAGGGGTTCTGATCTTTTTTTGGATAGATTGTCACAGTGAGACCGAGGATATTATACATACCATATAATGACGATGATCATACAGAAAGCTTCTCGAGTTTCTTGCTGATTGTTAGGAAGTTGAAGGGGGCGGGTAAGGAAATGCCGGGTCCATGCTGATAGGGAGCTACTTGCAAAGAAGGATCATTTAGTGCTTTGGATTTCGAAGACCAGTCGGAGTCTTTGAAGAAGAAAACGTCGATGACAGGTAGCAGAACCAAGGCGGAAGTTTCTCCGCGAAGGACTGACTATCTTGTCAAGCTAGTCAATACGCGGACGTGGTGGTATCACGTATACAGTGGGGTTTGTGTACCACATGAGCAAGATCTTCTGTCAGTTATTTTCAAGACATGACATGGAAGCCAGAAGGTGGAATTGAATTTTTGTCATCGTTGATTGTCAGAGAACTAGTTCAGTTTATGACGTAGATGCGGAAAGAAGAGATAACACGAAAAAAAACGCAGCAGCTGAGCTCAGCAAAATTGCAGTACCCATTCGAAAGGTGTATAAGGTAACGGGGTCAAAAAATGAAATGAAAGGTACGAGGTAATTGTAGTTATGGAAACGACATAGGCACCAGCTGCGCAGGCGGCAGAACAAAAATCCACCCAAGAGAATAGGCCCCACCAAGTCAAACCAAAAA